GCAAACAACCGGTCGCGGTGGCGGCAGACGCGACGCCAGGACGTCGCCGGGGACACTCTCAGTAACAAAGAGGAGCATTAAGGAGGAGTTAGTTACCACGAGTTTCTTTATCAAATATGGAATAGAAGCGTTCAAAATAAAGGAACTTTATATTATTCATTAAAAGGGCTAAATCTTTTATAACAGTTACTCGAACTTTACTCAGGAACTAATTTTTCCAAAAATATCTGGTTTCTGTCAAATAAAGTCACAAACTCATGACAATTTAGGTATTTAAATTATTCTTCGCCGGTGTAATGTCCTTCAGTAATTCAATTTGCAGTTTATTTCTGTTGTTAGCCTACTTAGATGGGATTAGCGAGAAAATCTGTTATACTTATCGTGGACTTCAATTTGTGAGATACATTTAAGTTTAAAATATCTTACGAATTCTCGGCTGTCCGGGAGACGCCGCGTCGTTGGCTGGGGTGCCGACGTTGGGTGGGGCGTCTCCCGGACAGCCGAGAATTCATGAATTCGAGCCGCGGAAGCTTACGTACACATCCAAAAATATCTTACAATCGTGTTGCCTCTCATTCACTTCAACGAAAGATTACACAAACAGTGCCAAAGTTCAATCTCAATCTATCTCTATGAGGCATTATGCATACGTAATAGAAATGAACATACTACAGCTACATATTATTTTACAATGCGTTCGTGATGTGGAAAAGTAATTTAACACAGACTGTCGATCTCGCACCAGCGCCTAATGTTGGTTTATTGCTGAGGAGTAAATCACATCGCGGGGCGTGGTGCGAGTGATATTTCTGGTGTTCGGTTCCGGCGCATGATGTACGTCGCAATAATACGCAAGTTATAGGTTTCCAAATTTGCTACAAGGTTCTGCACATCACGTGCGAATTATCGATATCGCTGTCGTTTTCTTGGGAATTATATAGTTTATCGTAATCTGAGATTTTCAGTAGACTAAGTTTGTGGGGACTCCATAATATATGGATAATGAAACTATCTTTAGAATTAGAGTTAAATGAGATGAGATAGCAGGAAAAGAGAACAGGATAAATTTTGTATAAAAACCGTATAGAATCATTTGATGTAACAGCAAATTCTAAACAAACAACTCTAAACACCCAGTAACCTTGAACGTCCTATTCTATGACTTTCAGGTTAATTCATTTAAGAGTCGAAACATACATACAACTACTCACACACACGCATGTGCATATTGAACTTAATGAAACTTGAAAGAGAAATTCAAATTTCTTTGTGACAAGAATGGGCATTTTCTCTGTGCTGCGTTCAAAATAATTATTTGCTTACTTCATAAGATAAAAAAGTATATTTGGAACTATAGTTGCATATAAACAAGCAATCTACGATTTCTTAAGAGCACAGTATTTCAGTGCATAGTTATATAAACGCATATCAGTACTTTCATTCTCTTCCAAAATAGTGGACCAATTTACAGCAATTTTATTTACTACAACCATTTACAACTCGAACCTATCCCTCCTGAAATCGGGACAATCCGTTAGCGTCTGAAGGACATTTTTGGCGCATTTACATCAGAGACTGTAGACAATTAACTTAAACGCGTCAGCTTACAGCTAACGAGTAGGAGAGCGTAGTTAAAACTGCGCCGAGGGAGTGGGGTCTATTAGAATGGCGATGTTTATTCATACGTATTTTGCATAGCTAACCATTGCAGGGGGAGATGCTTGCTTTGGATTCCCAGCAAAATTAAAATGCGTGCATGCGCATATGCAGAACGCCCCTCGCGAGGCAATAAAAGTTTCCTCTGTCGACGCGAGCCATTCGTCGCCAGCCATCTGCTTGTTTCGTGTCAGTACCAGTACTCGACATTTTGCTGTCGACGATATCATCACTCTGCGTCCGCAGACAGAAAATGTTTGTTTGTTTCCTATTCATTGACTAAACGGGACGAAAAATTATTAAAATATGTTGTTGTTTGCTGACGGTTGGAGGACAATTTTATAATACCTTCTAACAAAATGTAACTAGAAATAATATGCACGACATTTAGCCAAGAAGTTTAGTTTCCAATTATAATGTCCATCTATTGGAAAAGTTGTTATGAAATTTGAATACTTTTTACTTATTTTAAATGTTTTGATCTCGTTAATGTTTACGAATGTTTACACTCCGTTAGGTGAGAAATACTGCTGGCCGCATTTGATTGAAGGTATATTTTCACGATGTTTAAACTTAGGATGAATTCTGAATTTCATAGAGATCAAAAGAAAATGCAAATAACAATCTAAAATGAGATTTCTCGACCTCGTAATTAACAAAAGTTATAATTGTTATGATAGATTTATAAACATTTTAAAAACCAAGGAAAATGGACTTTTATAAGCTAATATTACCATGGATATTAAATTTGTAATAATTATTTTTTTCTTCATAATGAAATGTTGGAATTTTTATTGTTCGTATATCTTTCGTAAGATGTATCTTTTTTGTTTTAGAATGATTGTGGCAAAAAATAGAGTTATTATATAATTTTGTCTCTGGAGTGGTACTGCACAAACGTTTATTGTGAACACTTTCTTCATAATATTTTCCTAAAAATCTTTGGGAAAAGGGTACATATACAACAGGTATTTATTTATATATGCACTTCTGTGCGATTTATATGTGTAAAATAAGTAGTAGAAATTTATTTTGTTTCTAAAGAGAAATTATATTTTCTTTTATGTGACGGCTCTTGGCATAATCTGATGTCTGCTTCTGACCGGGAGGTTCTGGGGTTCGAATCTCAACGATGGCAGGATTTTCGACGCTTACTCCATATCGGGGTCAAATACAGTCGTCAGGAGGAAAATTCTACTTCCGGTTGCTCTGATCGGTAGTTTTCCGTTGTTTCTCTTATTAACACAAGGCGAATGCCGGAGCAGTACCCCAACAAATGGGCCGAATGCAATCTTTCTTTCCCCTTCTTTGTCCACACCCCTTACTTGCACACACGTTTACATGAACTGCACTACCACACATGTCGGGGCCCCAGGCAAGAGCTTCAGGGTGTCCCGGGTGGGGCGGTGCCTGCTGGTGGGAGATATCTTGTTGGGGAAATTCCCTTCAGCACACGTAGGGCGCCGTGGGATCTTGACACAGAGCGTGGAGATCACCGCTACCTCCCGTGATGAAAACATTCCTCACACTTTCTGAGGTGAAGACATTAGTAGTTGATCGCCCGGAATCACTAACCAATCTATCTATTTTCTGTACTTTTCTAATGAAACTAAAATTCCATTGCCACAAAGACAGTATTTTATTCTTTATTCTTTACAACATACGGATAATTTTATGTATTTGTGAAATAAGAATCTCAAATTCAGAACTGCATTTTTAGTCACTGCGAATTTGTTTCATAATTACAAAATGTAATGTTCAACAAAAAACTCAAAATACACAAAAAACACTGCCTAATATTCGCAAAATCTTCTGATAATATATAAAAATTGTAAATAACCTTACTTCAAAACTCGTCTTTGAATAAACTATTTTTTTTTTAATTTTTATCCTCAATATTATAGTTGAAGAAAGACGCCAAAAAATTTAACTTTAACTTTATTGCCGTTTTTCACAACTTTTGAAAGATCAATTTTTTCAAGGAGACTAGCGCCAATTTTTTAAGCGTGATGTACGCTATTCAATGACAAAGTATTATAAAGAAACCATTTTTGAAAAAGTTTGAAAATGTTTTCGAAATTCAAATGCCTTTGGGAAAGTACCTCCAAAATTAAAATAACCGTTCCGAACTCGAAGTGTGTTGCTCGTGTGTCGTTTGTGTAGTGTGTTCCTCGTGTGTCGTTTGAACTGTTTCGACAGACAAACAAATGTTCTGTCTAACAATAACAATTTTTCTGTCAAAGTTTGGCGATTTTGATGTAGATTAACAATACTTTCTCTTCTTACAAATAAAGGCGAGTGTTCTTACTAAATAGGGCGTGACCAACGGAGTTGATTTCAGTGCCAGAGTCGAAGCTAATGACAAAGCTGCGATCTCTGGTCTCCGTAACTTAAATAAAACTAAAATAAAAATAAAATACTACTATCTCGGAAGCATGAACCTTGTTTTCATTCGTGAATAGAAATAATTTTCTCTTGTGTAATAAATCACTATGAATACTTTTCTGTTTTTTTCCAATGAACGTACATATATCATAAATCAGAGCCTGCTTGCCTGAAGGTTCGAGATGGCTAGAACGTGTGCTGGCTCAGCGCCCCGGTCCGAAGAGACGCGGGTTCGAGTGCCGCCATTGGCATGGTGGTTTATCTCGTCCTTCATGCAGGAGTGTTGTCGCGGATACTCTTGTGAATATACTGACCACTGATTGAAGAGCCCGCGTGTGTTTCTAGTGAAAAGGTTAATGTTTGGTCCCATGAGGGACATATTAACCTTTACACTGAACACACACGTGCTGGCTCCTCGGTCTGTGGCAGCAAGCTCACGAGGCCTTCCGCGTGTGTGTGTCCTCTTCAGACCCAAGAGTAAGATTTTTTGTTTACAAACGACTAACATGTTTCCGCACAGTTCTTATCTACTAAATACACGAGTGACACTGGTGGCTACAATAGTCAACTTAGAGTTTAACAAATCAAGTCAACGTCTCGAAGTAAAAATACTTGCATTGTGTCACGCAAAATTAATTTCGAAACGAAGTTTCACATATGTGTAGTTCTGGATTGCAACGGGTGTATATACATTGTAATGGGTTTTTTATCGGTATATTACACTACATATTTGAACAATATTAATGAAATTACTATTCATAACAGAATTTATTGTCATTTCACTCCAGCAGAAAAAGAAAACGTAAAAAATGTATTTCACCTCATTCTAATGCTATTTTCGTTGAATGTTTCTTCACAAAGCAATCTACAAAAGAAAAAATATATTAGAAAGTTGTAAATTTCAGAAGAAATATGCCAATCTATTCCAAGAGGACTTCAAGACCAATAACCAGCGCCCGCTACCTCCTGTGTTTCGAGAGGTATTCCATCGTGATTGCCAGCTGGACAGCGGCTCCACGGCTGAGGAAGATGCTGCGCCAGTCGAGTGTGATTTGCCGCTTCACCGACCTGCATCGCCGATGGAAGGTAAACATCACCACGCACGCGATCGAAGTCACCACGAGGTTTCCCGCGAGGGTCACCGCTCTCAGAGACTCAGACTGGAACAGCTCACCAAAAAGATGAAAAAATGTTCTTTAAAGATATACCATTGGATAGAAAACTCTTTCAGCTACTCTTTCTTCTATGTTTATTCCGCATGGATGTGAAATTGTAATGAATATCCCCACCTTATTATTTGTGATTGGATGCACCACTATACGAGTCAAATGCAAATGCAAATTCAAGTCTATTCATTTATTTATTTACTTTCAGTAAAAATAGTTTAAAACTGCTGGTAAAGTGTGTGTGCACAAACACAATCTATTCATATTTTCGTGAGTTTTGGACCCCCTTCTTCTTAAGAAATTGGAGTCGAATTACAAAAAAAGGAGGAAAGGGTTCGGATAGAATTTGATAGTAAGTCACATTGTCACTCCTGTAACAGTAGTCGTTTCTCAAGGAAACAAAGGAAGGAACGTTTTTGTCGCTTTCCAGAGGAAGACATTTGAACAGAGTCCACATTTTCAATTCTGTCATCTGATAGAGACTCTTCTACATCTGGTGATGATGGAAAACAATAATTAATGTAATTAATGCTTAATAATTCAAGAGTACCATAATCCTTAATGATGTTATTTCAAATCAGTTAATTATCTAAAGCAATAATTGAGGCTAATTGTATTATTTAGTAAGAAACGTCAGACTACAATTTTTTGGAGAGATATATTATTTTATACTGCTAATATTGAAAACCATAACATTCACACTGCTATATAGAACAAAATTAGACTAGAGCAAAATCAGTGTAATATGCATTGTTTTGAGCTTACATCTACATACAAGAAACGTGATAAGTTTAATTATACTACACTGAATAAAAGATAAGGTAGAATGAGTGTGGCAATTATTGAAAGTATTACTACAAACTTAAAAATATTATATTCTACGTTGAACCCAACTTAAAATGCTGGAGGTTATATATTCACTCGTTGGACCACCCTCCGAGATATATGTCTCTGAAACAGCTAAATTAAGCACTTATTAAGCACGAAACATTTGAAAGTTATTTGCTAACTCGATTCTGATGTAAGTACTAATAATTTTAAAGTTATTTAATAAACATAAACAATCCTAAACACGTACACATACATTCAGACATACTTCTTAATGTACTTAAGTTCAGGATGGTCAGGTTGGGCGAATTCCGCATTTGGGTCTGGAAAACGGTTTTTTCTCGCAGGACAAGAATTGCTTTCGCGGAATACCGCCCAACGGGCATAAATGCATAAAAATATGTGCGATTTCGGGTGGAATTTCATATTATGACTAAATTTTAAAAACACCACAACGACGTTGACAGTGAGTTTGATTTTTTAAATATTTTTGCATTATACATGATGTTTTGTTAATTATTTGGTAATTTGTTCAAAATTACTTTGAGAAGTGAATAATATTAGTTTTTATACTTCTAGTACACAGTTTTTTTCTAAAAGTCATGCTCATTTGTCGTGCACAACGTACAGAACACAATTCAAAATTTGTCATATTTTGGAAGTACAGTTTCACTACCAGCATTTATCGTTGGGCCATAGGGAGTAAGCATGCATATTAAATAAGCATTTATGTGATAATCTTTTTATGCGATGATATGTAAGAGGAACAAGGAGAGTAAAAATGAGGAAGTGGGGGAATTATTTTATCCTTTACAACATTTCTTCCATATGCTGTAGTCATAAGAATAGTTATAACTAATTTTTAAACATAAAGATATAATTCATTATTAAAAAATGTTAATTTTTTACATAAATGTTATTATTAATTACAAATTACAAAAAATAAAACTAATCAACCATTTCATAGGGGAACTATCTCAGAAAATTTCTAATTGTTATTTTAATGCAAATTCAAATTTCCCACTTGGAATGTCGAATTTTTCTTACTGGCGGAATTGGGGGGTTTTACACCCATCTAACGGTGAATGTTGGTACAAAGCAACTGGCAACCCTATTTGAATGATGAAAAAATTATTTTTGTAACTGACGAGAGAACATTTGGCAAGGGAAATTGGAAAAGAGGTAAAACACCGAAATAGAGAAATGCGTGTTCTAGGGAACTAAACGCATCATGTCTGATTACTGTTCTTAAATATTGTTGAAAATAGAAGCTCTGAGAGTATTTTAGATGTTGTAAAATCTTTGACAGGGTGGGAGTCACTGTAATCTAGAATTGATGGACATCTTATAATCGTCTCAACGACGAAGGCCGATGGCACCTTTTCTTCAACTACTTTCTTCAACGGCACCCATACAACTCTAAGCGCTCAGGGTGTAATTAAATATTAATTGCTTTGGCGATTCGTTAAAGATCAGTATTACATCTCATATCTTTGTGAATACATGTAGAGAAAATAATTATGAAGAAAGCTTAGAAGTTTTATGTGTCAGTTTACTAAAACTTTCGTTATGATAAATATAAATCCACGAAATATGTGAGTACTAGAATTTTATTTCTCTTTTAGCTTAGATTTGTTTATTATTTCAGTTATAAAGTGAGTAAGGCAGGCCAGAGATTCAGAGAACAGGGCAAAGGCTGAGGCGGAGATTCCCTAGAACAGATAAAAGTGGAAGAGGACGGGAATAAATCAATTCCTCTTCCTGTCTAATAAATAATTTAAATATATAAATACACAGAATCGCGAGGTGTTCGGCCTAGTCTATCGACAGCGAACAAATTGTTGCTCGAAATATGCGCGAACCGAGGAATCCAAATACCCATGATCAAAATTCTTATATTCGTTCTTCGGCATATCAACATTTTGTTTACTTTTGTAGCATGTATTATTTTTAAGACTTTTCAAGACTTGATTATTTTTTCATTAATTAATTATTAATTAACCATTATTCATAATGTTTGTTACTGGACAATTTATTGTGGATCACATGTTATAGTTTGGTTTTGTTAGCAGCGAAAATTGTGTGTGATTGTTTAGTGAGTCCATCTCTGTAACGTTGAAAAACATCCAATTAAATATGTGAATATTTAAGTTTGCTTCTAACTGGAAAATTAAATCATCGCAACGCATATTGGGTTGTGATTTGCTTTAACTACGCTATGGAAGTTTTTATCAGTTCCAACAGATAAACCAACGAAACGAAGTCAGTGAAACGGAACATTGGTAATGAAATTCAGTTATTACTTTTGACGCAGATGGAAATGTATACTGCATTGACGTATTTTTGTAATTTCACGTGCGGTAGGTAGTGGGAATTTTTTTGCTGTTAAATGATATATTTTCCGAGTTTGCGGGATAGACTCGTTCGGAGATGAAATTGATGAAATTTACATTGCGAAGGACTTAGTAAAATAAAGAGGAAGACCTCGAATACGTCATATCATTTCAAACAAGGCAGCTGGTAGTGATTTAATTTTCTTGCAGTATAAATATATGACAGTTAAATTAATACTTAGAAAAGTTAATATCAAACAGTTCAGCAAGCACTAATTCACATATCTCATTAAATAAAAAACGAAATCATGTGAATGAGTGTAAGATACTATGGGAGTAAAGAAAAAAACCTAACTTTGTACACATCCGTAACAATGAAATAAAACTAGTAAAATTCGAAAATGTTAATGAACAAATTATTAATACAGATTCATAACAAATATGGAGCGTTCGTTTAATAAACTGAATCTGAAATCGTTGATGCAACGTCACAGGTTCCGAATAAAATGAAAATAAGTGAATGAAATAAAACTTGTTTATTTGAAGCAACTGACGTTTTTAATTTTAGTGCGACCAACTTTAGCACTATTTAGGAAGCGGGTATCGTGGAGTTGTTTATTTATTCGAAGTGGCTGCAAACGTGTTAATGAGATAACGCACAATGAAAATTACCCTGCGTTATTTTTCGTAAAAAATAATATTACTATGTGTTTGAAAATGTGATTTAGAGATAATTGATATAAATAGAAATCGGAATTACCAAACGAAGTGAATACTGAACGGCACGTGCACTCGCCTTTCCTCCCGGTCATCTTTCTAAACTTTTCAGTTACATGAATGAATTTGCATTGCCTGATAAAGGTACTCCACTCTTAAATATAGTGAACATATACATTTACTTTTCCTTGAAATTGTTCATGCACGAAAATCTATATACGATTTTTACTTGGTGGATCTGGTATTTGAATTAATTAATTAATAATTAAATAATTATGAGTCGTCATTGCCAACAAAACTGTTTATTGTTGGTACTGACGACTCATACAATTATTTCATTATAAATGCCAACGAATCGTCATCACAATACCAATAAGTAATAATTACTTAATATGGATCTTTGTTAATCACTTAAGTGTATATTATAAAAATAATTACTGTCATCATGAAACAAAAAAGTTTGTTACAATTTTTTATTATCAGTATGCTAAATTTGCGGTTACATCGTAGCGAAGGAAATTACATTATTAGTTCTATAAGTGATTGTAATATTGGTATCCAAATCAAATATGTACATCTCATTAGCTTTAGAGTCATATATCAAATTGTCCTACAACGACAACAAACATTTCCAAAATGAAAGGTAATGATTCTTGAACTGTCTGTAATAGTCCATCATTTTCTCCCAATTTTTCTTTCAATTCACGCTCTACATTTTAAATTGCACAATCTCATTGGCGGTCCCTACGTCTGAACTTAGTCTTATTCGCACTCGTCCCAGCGGTCCGGGTTTGCGTTCAAGTAGATTCAAGTAGATCGCGTGCGGCTTTTGAGGTCAAAGTGCAGACATCTCTGCAGGGCTGTTCTAAGAGCTCCCCACTGCCGGCTCTCTTCTTAACCTCCGACTGACTAGTGATTGGAGGGACCTCCCCCACCCCGCCACAGCTCTCAAGGGCAGTTCACGTGCTCCCTCGGTGGGAGAGTCCTATGTTGATAACGAGCGTTGAGTGTTTTATAATGACCTTTGCACAATGGGTTCACCCTTGACGGATCATGGCGCATTATTTGGAAGAAACTACTTGCAACGACCTGGCAAGTCGTCTGTGTGTACCTGCCTTCACTATTTGTGGCCCTGACCCTTCGCGATCTCGAACAACCCTTCACAGGATGTCAGCACCTCACTGCTCCATGCCGCTGCCTTCGCTCTCCGCAACACATGGCCCTTTACGTCCGTCCTTTTATCATTGTATTTGCGTTCATGTCACTAACACAATCGATTTTATATAAGCTCTCAAGTAATAAATATTTGCACTGCTATTCTCGCCTCTTCAGAGCCCTACCGAGTCAGACACTAAAACCATAATCAAAATAGTTACTTTTGACATCAGAATGTGGGGAACAGTAAGAATATCTAATCTCTCAAATATACAAAATTTCAAATAAAAACAGTAAAAGTATCCTATAAAATGTCTTTAATAAAACGCAAGGCTTTAGGGACAGCTTGAATAAATATATTCAGACACAGTTTTACCAACCTTCATCGTCTGGCAAATCACACATATCCTCTATCCCACAGTCTCGTAAACAGCTGTGAAGACACTCACTGTATGACCTGACTTGCAAATGCTAAACTACACTACAGATCAATATAATTCTCTTAACTGCACTAAACCAACTCCGACTCGTAAACAATTCAGTGTTTACTTCTTGTCGCAGACTTAAATAAAATGGGAAAAACTTCGCCCCTACCAATTTATATAAATCCTTATAGTAATTTTTCTCTGTAGCCAACATTTTTATTGATCGCATAAGAACATAAAAAGAAATTGTAATCTTAGTATTTTTGTTATAATCCTCAAGGGAAGGTTTGGAGTATGCAAAATAAGAGGGCGTGGGGAGAAAAATCGACACTGAGTTGTTGGCGCCGCCAGAGGGGCGTTCGAACAGGGGGCGCAGGGGGTGGGGGCGATCGACGCGAGCGAGGCCGTGTGCGACTGACAGCTGAATGATGGGTGGCGCGAGGGGGCCGACCCCCTCGTTAGGGGAGGGGAACTGCGGGGAGGTCAGGGATTTGCAAAATAGTTGGTGAGGTTTCAGAAAATTTTAGCACTGGGACATTTTCAAATGGAGGGGGATGAGAAGAGAAGCACGACAACGAGAGAGATGGGTTTACGAAGAATTGACAGACCAAATAACTGTTACTTACATAGTTTAGAAAACAAGGTTTATCCTAGCAGTTTTGAATTTTTACCCACCACAGCGCTCTCGGGCAGTCTTTGGACCGTTCTACGAACATATTTGCTGGGATAATCTCTCAAATGTGTAATGAGCCAGTGGCAGGTCAGGTTTTTACTGACATAATTAGACATTAGGAAGTGTGCTTTAGTTGTTTCTTTTAAATCTCGTGGGTGAATGTTAATTTCGTTGAAAAGTAAAGGTCTTGCTCTAGGTGTCTTTAAATGAACTCTAAAATAGAAACAAAATATCAGTATTTCGTGTATTCCGATTGATTGATTCCGAATGCATCAACTAAAACAAGATCATTAGTCCCAGAAGCGTAGTGCATGTTCTTTCCTCGGAAGGTAGCGGTGACATCGCCCCAGGAAGGTGAGGTCTGGTGCCACCCTCCACGTCGGATAGTGGGGTATCTTCCACCAGCGGTGTACCAGCAGGGCACCGTCCCAGCCGGGACAAGCTGCAAGCTTCTAACCGTCCTCCAGGCATATGTGGTAGGGTTGTGCATGTAAGTGTTATTGTAAGTAAGGGGCGACGATATGGCAAGGAAGAGGAAAGAAAGATCGCGTTCGGTTCGTGGCCCGTTTGTTAGGACACTGCTCCGGCAATCGTCTGGTGTTAATCGGAGAAACCACCGAAAACTACCGATCAGAGCAGCCGGCCGCTGGAATTCTCCTCCACGACAGAACTCGTCCTAGCTCTCTAGATAGTGTCGAAAATCCTGCCGACAGGACTCGATCCCAGCTCCTTCCGCTCTGAGGCGCTGCGCTGAGATCAATTGATGCTCTGAGCCTCTCCCGGCTGTGTATTTCAATATTTCACGGTATTTATTCTTTAAGCTCATCAAATGTATTATGGATTCACTAATATTACTTCGCATCTTTAACCGGGGAGATATCACTTACTGGGTGCGGGTGCGGAAATCATAGCCAATGAAGAATTATGTGAGGATTATGTCGAAATCTTGTTTGTAAAGATGAAGACTAAAAATCTTGAACAAGATAAGATTTACTTTTTTCATATTTTGAATGTTCCAAATTATTTTTTTACTTAAATAAATAAAACAATTATTTCATAGTTTGTGTGTTATAAGAAAAAAATACATCAAAGGAACAAAACTTAATGCCTAACAGAGAATTCTAAACAGATGCTACGATGAAGAGCAACGAAATATAGAACGATTACTTGTTTGTGTGAAAATATTTTTGCAGGAATGCGACAGATTCATCAGTGGCTTTAACAATCCTTTATTTTTATAAAAGGACTGTCATTTTGAGGGTTAATCTTTCTCATGTTATGTGAAATCATTTAAAAGGCTAAAAAAAAATGCGCGGTGTTAGAGCCGCTGCCCAAGCTAAATCTACAATAATTGGCGAACGCGGTTCACGGTTAACTAACTGAATTGTTATTTATGTGACAAAAACTTTATAACGATTCTCGAGCTTACCACCGATCACCGTGAGGGACGTGGATTGGCAGCCGGCATTGGACATCTGCTCCCTCAGGGGTTTATTTGGTTGCCGCGTGGAAACGTTAAAACATGATGTGTGAATAAATTGGAGAATGCATGAATAATCCTTGCACTTAGATAGGAACATCATATTATAGCTAGTTACGAGAAATATCCATATATCGTAGGAGCGAAGTTTTTTATTCAGTTAATCATTTGGTGTTAATAATTAGAGAAATATTAGATTATATATTGAATTACATTGTTTCTAAACATTGAAACTGTATTTCAATAACGTATAATGTGGTTGCAATTTTATTTTATAAGAAAAAAATAAGCAAAACGTGATATACCAGTCACACAAATGTTTATTAATCATAATGGCGTTAAATCTTTGAATGACAATTTAAAAATGCACAAGTAAGTTAAATGTATGACAGGATAAATTTATTTCATAAAATTAAACAAAATACCGATAAATACTAAGTGTGAGCTTTATTCAATGTAATTTGACATACGAGTCGTGATCATCAGGAATTATGTGTTAGAAGTCTGATGGCAGGACACATTTATATACTTTTCGAAGAATATCGATCTGTGAAACGATGAAGCTTCTAGGAAATAAGTCACAACGGCAAGTTTTTTAAATAAAATATTGGTTGCTGATGATATTATATCAGATTTCATTGACTTTTTCACATGTGTTTTCTTCACACGTGAAACAAAACTTATACTTACTGAACAATACTTATTCTAACTTAACAATATGGGGCGATGGTCTAACTTAACGGCAAGTGGCGGTAGCATTGAGTAGAAGATAAGATCTCAACTGAAGACTCTATGAAGGAACACGCGTACATTGCAACATTGTCGCAACTAATGGCACGAAATGCCCCCCCCGTGCGCCTGTGAAAAGGCTCTTCCGTTCGAAAGAGCAATCCCCCGCCGCTCACGCTTGCTGTTGCGGCGCCTCTGTTCCACCCTCCATGTTTGACACTAGGCGCCTTCTCCGACGAATTTTGCGAGCTAAAGACAGTACTCCTACCCTGATCTAGCCACGTTTAATTATGATTTAAACCGGCTTAGCTGGCTAAGGGCATCAATTGACGACAATGACGACAATTGACGACAATGAGTGTCTCTGACAGGAAGGTCCTAGCGTTCGAGTGCTGATGGTGTCAGGATTTTTGATACTAGATACTAGGTCGATATTTTGACATTTAGATAGCTCGAGTTATCTCGCTGTCTGGCGGAGAATACATTGGTTAGATTCTCTACCCGGAAGACTTGGTTCTTCCGGGTAGTTTCTCCCCGGTGGTTTCTTCGAGCAATATCAGGCGAATGCAGAAAAAACTGAGCAGAATGCAGAAGCCCTGGCAAACGGGCCACACTCCTGCCAGGTGGTGTAAGTTCCGGCGGTACTCACGAATATATCAAGGTGGAAACACTGAGGAGACGGGTGGGAGGCTGCGAGCCCCCGGTCCTTGTCCGGGTGGCCCCAGTTACAAAGTTACAAAACTTAAGCCACTTTTTAAAAATGGGGGAAAAATACCCGATAATTGATGTTTTTCCAGTTAACTCAAAAATATTACAAAGGATTTTCTACACGTGGATGGAAACGTTTCTCTGGAAATACGAAGCGTTTTCAGAGTTACATCACGATTTTAGAAAATCAAAATCTACAGAAAATTCCATTTCTTCTTTTTTCAATGATGCTGCTTCATCAATGAACCAAAATGAAACACAAATTGGACTACTTTTAGTTCCTTCGAAAGCTTTTGACAGTATTGATCCTGCTCTCAAGATTATCTTCATATGGAATTCATGGCTTTGTTGTAGACTGGATATTCTCGTACCTTAAACATTGATCTCAAAGAACAGAAATACTGTACTGGCACGAAAGAATATTTACTTATATTTCCACTTCTCTGCCTCTTGAGAATGGGGGTCCGAAAGTAACGCGTGAAACAGTTCTGTTCGCCGACGACACAAATGTTCGTTGAAAAAAAGGAACAGGAAATAGTACAAATACAGAAGTTTGAAATTGGTTTCATAATTAATAATTAATAGTTAACAAAGGAAAAAATTGCATTTCAAATCAGCAATCGTATGCTACATTGAAAATGTACAATATGCAATTAGCTGATATTGAAGTAACAAAATTTTTAGTTATCTGAATTCAATCATACCTCAAATGGATTGTACACATCAGAGAATTAAACACTAAATTAAGTTCATTATGTTACGCATTCACAATTCCTTCAAATTCTGACAGCTTTCAAGCATCTCGTCGCGTGTATTTTGTAAATGTGCATTCCTGCCTGAGATATCACATAATTCGGGGGTAAAAGTAAAGTAAAGGTCTGAAACAAAAATTCCATATTATTATGTTGATATGTCCCAGGAAACGGTTTCTCCAATTATATTGAAGTAATTGAACTCTACGTTCTCATTGCCCCAAAATTAGTAATTCAGGTGTTAAAAATTAGTGCCTTATAAACATTTGGTTGTGATGTTCTTCTTACATTCTCTG